ATTAATATGTTATGTCATTATGCGATGTTAGCTGTTCAATGATAATTCCGAAGCCCACGAGTAAACAGGGAAAACCAAAGACAGTCCTAGGGACAGGGGAGAAGGCTGGGAACTGGGGGCACCCCTGAGGGAATTCCCTTGGCGGTTTCCCTTCTTGAGGTTTCCCCCCGCAGATTCTAGCAATGAGTATTTCCCACATCATGTGTGTTTCCCCGGAAGACCCAGCTCTGCACACGCAAACGTGGGAGGCATGGGGTGAGAAAGGCAGGTTCAATCAAAGGTTTGGGGTCACCCTTAGGTGTATCATTCTGTTAACAAAATACACTCGGGGTGGGGGGCGGTTGCTGGGTGGCTCAATTGGTTAAGCGTCCAACTCTTGACCTCCGCTCAGGTCATGATCTCACGGTCCGTGAGTTTGAGCCCTGAGCCGGGCTCTGTGCTGATGGCATGGAGCCTGTTTGGGATTCTCTCTCTCTCTTCTCCCTCTCTCTCTGCCCCTCCCACATCTCTCTTTTTTTCTCAAAATAAATAAATAAATAAACTTAAAAAAAAAAAAACCACTCAGTGGGGTGCCTGGGTGGCTCAGCTGGTTAAGCATTTGACTTCCACTCAGGTCATGATCTCATAGTACGTGGTTTCGAGCCCCATATCGGGCTCTGTGCTGACAGCTCAGAGCCTGGAGCCTGCTTCGGATTCTGTGTCTCCTTCTCTCTCTCTCCTACTCACGCGCTGTCTCCGTCTCTCTCAAAAATAAATACACATTAAAACAACAACAACAAACCACTCAGGGCACCTGGCTGGCTCAGTCGGTAGAACATGTGACTCCTGATCTCAGGGTTGTGAGTTTGAGCCCCACACCGGATGTAGAATTTACTTAAAAAATAAATCTCAAAAAAAAAATGTTTAAACAACACACTCGAGAAACAGTTATAATTAGGGGACAGTTCGCGATATTTTTCTGACATGCTAATCGCCTTTGGTTGCTCCAGCTCTCTGCGAAAGCCCAGCGCTCAGGAGGCGCCTGGCTGGTTCAGTTGGTAGAGCGTGTGATTCTTGATCTTGGGGGTCATGAGTCTGAACCCCATGTTGGGGATAGAGATTACTTAAAACAAACAAAACAAAGCCCAGAGCTCGCACACAGCCCTGCATGGTGGTGGGGGTTGGGGGAGCGAGGTGATAGGGGACCCAGCAGGACCCAACAAACCACACACCCCACAATTTTTTGTCTTTTACGCAGAGGGAGGCCGTTACGCACGTTCTTCTGCAACTTGGTTTTCTCCCGTAACAGGTAGTGGACATCTTTCCACACCAGGACACATGGATTTACCCTACCCCACCCCCCCCCCCCCCCCCCCCCCCCCCAGCACCTGATGCGTGACTGTGCCAGGATGGGTTTAATCAGCCTCTATTAACGGACATCAGGGTTCTGCCCACTGTTGTCCCTGTTACAATTCACTCTGTGCCGAACAGTCCTGTAATACAAGCTTGAGTGTGGATATTTCTGTAGGGCACGTGCCTACAAGCGTTTCATTTTTTAATAGTCACTGTAAAACTGTCCCCGAAAAGCTGTCCCAGTTTTCACCAACAGAGTCTGAGAGCACTTCTTTACCTAGGTCTCTAACTCTACCTTCAAAAATAGACTTCTGTCCACCCAATAGGTTGACAATGACATCTCACTCTTCGGGTTTGCATTTCTTTGGTTCCTAGAAATACTTGGCATCGTCTTCTGTGTTTATTGTTTGCGCTGGAGGAGGAAGCTCTGGAAGCTTTTGGACTCAAAGGGATGAGCCTTTGAGGGTCGTAATGAAAGGCCAGTGTGGACACGTCTGGAGGCAGAGGATGCTGTCTATGGGCACCTTATACCGTGTCCTGAGGACAACAGATGAGTATATACACGTGGACACCAAGGCAGTCAGAGCCTAAGTGTTGACTGAGGCAGGAGAGTGGCCTCTGGGCTTTGAGAGAGATCTCTAAAGCAGAGATTACAGACTCATTCATTCCACACTCGCACCTCTATGAGCCAGAGTCCTGCTAGCCAGGGGATTGCGCTGAGCTCGCCTGGTGCCCTGCTCCTGAGCAGCACACAGTGGGGCAGTTAAGGGCAGAGAACCCATGGAAACAGAGCTGAAGGGGGGCTAAGGATGGGTGGGGAGGGTCTTGGCAGAGCAGGGCTAGAAGACAGGATGTTGGCCCAAGTTTGAAAAGAGAGGCTGAAGGATGTGGGGAGGGGGGAGGAGACAGACACAGGACCAGTGTGCATGGGGGGTTCCGGCACGGTGGCTGGGGGAACCGCAGCCTGAGCGGGGTAGAGCAGGCCAGGAGAGAGCAGGCAGGGAACGGAGGAGGCCAGAAGCCATGTGTGTCACACCTAGTCACGGAGGCCTCAGGAAGCAGCTTCTCTTGGGCCGGGTCTCAGGAAGAGCCCATTTCCAGAACAGTCCAATTCCTGAGCGTCAGCTAACTGAGGCGTTTCCCACACCAGGCTAAGGTAGAGGCGCGAAGGAAGCTGTGAAGTGGGGATCCGCCCAGGTTCTAATCCCACTCGCTGCTGGATGACCTTGGAAAGCCAGGTCACCTCTCTGAGGCTCAGGCTCCTTGTCTAGATGATGAAGAGAGACACGTGCCCCATGTAGGGTCAGACTACACTGGGCTTCATGTCCGTGGGAGTCTGAGGCTTTCTAGCCACAGCAGCGGATTTGCTGGGATGACAGCTCGGCCTAGGGACCCAGGGGCTGAGCCAAGGGGATGGGGACGGTAGGTTGTGTCTGTGCCTCTGAACTGGATCCAAGTCCCATCCATGGAGCCGAGGCCTGCAGGGGAAGGCCCAAAGAGCTGTTTTCACCAATGACTGTTAGGTGTAGGGTCCCTGGCAGGGCTTGGGGAACCCGATGGAAAATGTCCTACGGAGAGGGAGAGAGGCACCTCGCCTCACCCCCATCTGATACCAGCCACTTCCCTCCCTGGGCCCCAGTTTTCTCATCTGCACGCTGAGGCCATACTAGTTAACCTCCTGAAGTCCCCTGCGTTTGACATCATCGAATGTATCACTGGCGAGGGGGCGAGACGCTGGGTCTCCTGCTATAGCACAGAGCTGGCACCGTGTGCCACGGGAGCTCAGAGGAGGAGCTGGAGTGAGTTCCCAGTGGGCCTAAGCCGCTGGAAAAGGAATTCCAACCCCTTGGTCTTCAAGGGGTTTGTTTGAAGCAAAGAGCTGATGCGTGGGGGAGGAGCACTGCGGATCGGCTCAGAGGTTGCTCTGGAAAAGTTACTTCCATTCAACAGGAAACCTGGTAAGGGCAGACAAACCGGATTTCTGGAAGGAAGGGGTGGAGAAAGGTGGCAAAACACTCTCTCTAGCAAGCCAGCTGCGCCCCTTTTCAGGGCCCTGGCTCAGAGCCCTGTTTAACTCAGCTACATTCAATGCAACCAAGTATGTTCCATGGCTCCCTATGTCACACACACCAGATACGGGGCAGGAGAGGGTATCCTTCATCTCAGCAGCTCACAGTTTTGTGGGGGAGACAGCAGGCAGGGCAGACAAGGCTAACGGGAGACGGCTGATAAGGATCGTTAATAAAGTTACAAAACCAAGTGTCCCTGTGCCTGGGGAGGGGGCAGCTGGCGAACAAAGGGAGAGCTCTGCAGTCTAACCAGCTCCGTTCAAATCCACGCTCTGACCTCAGCGGCTTCCCCCATTCCTTCCTTCTCGCCTGGACTGAATCTGACACCTTAGAGAGGACACGATTTGTCCTTCTGCCTATCGATTCCGAAAAAGAGAGCAGCTCCCCAGTGCCAGGGCCCAGACAACCTGCCAGGCCATCCCACTGGATGGTCGACTCCTCCATGCAGGGGTAGGATCCCCTGTCACCATCCTTGCCTTCAGCGCAAGGAACGGTGCCTGGCACATACCTGTTGAATGAATGAGGCAATGGAAGAATCCTAGAAGCCCAGAAGCTTTGGTATCACATCATCAGCAGGTTCAGCAATGAGTCATGAGTCATCCCCTGACCTGGCGGAGCCCTTACGCCAGCTGCTGGTGAGCTGCGTAGATGCGAAATCACCCCTGAAATCCTGGTTTGGAAGGGGTGGGGGGATTTCTCTCTTGGATTTTGAGGTTCACCATTCAGCTTCATCTTTACCCGGAAACCAGTGACAGAAGGCCTATTTGGGGGCCCAGCGAGCAAAGAATGACATGGAAAGAGCGCTGGGTCTCTGACTCCAGCTCTCTGGTTGCCCCAGGGGCTCTAGAGAGAGTTCTCAGTAGACAAGAAACACAAACCATGGTGTATTTCGTTCTGATGCTGAGCCCAGTATGGTCTCCATTTTACAGGGGGCAACTTGTGTGCAGAGAGTTAAAAGAAACTGGTCCAAAGTCACAGGTCTGGGAAGGGGCAGAACCAGGATTTGAACCCAGGCCTATGGACTCCTGAGCCTGAGTGGCAGGTCTGTCGGTGAGGCCTCAGCCAGGCCATCGACCTCTCTCAGGGTGCCTGTCCTTCCATCTCTGAAAGGGGTACGTTGCTCCCTTCTTAGCTCCAAGAAGTATTGGTTCTCTAGAGGGTGGTGTGTGTATGTGTGTGTGTATGGAAGGGCAGGGTGGTGGGTGGCTTCTGGCTGCTTCCCCGCAGGGCTGATATCCTGCCCCATCCCACTCACAGTGCCTCGGGAGAGGGGCATCCTCTCTGAGGGTGGGGGTGGGGAGGGAGGGCAGCCTTTGGATAAAGGAGCAGAGGAAGAGAAGGCAGAGGAAAGCTGCTGAGCTCAGCCCGCCTGGGAGAGGGGCCTGCCTCCCTCTCCCCCCACCCCGCCCCTCCCCGGGACCACCCTTTCCCTCTCCTTGAGATGTCAGAAACCTCTCCCTCTCTCTGCAGCTGCTGGCCCTCTGGGAAGGCTAGGAGCACGAGGCTGGAAACCCACAGAGCCCTTCCCCGCCGCCTGCCAGCCACCCTCCCGAGCTGCAGCAGAAGCTATAAAAAGCACAGCCGTTCAACAATAGGTGACATCACCCAGCGGCGGAAAGAACTGGATTCTGCCAGATGCCAGGGAGAGTTATGGCCCCTATCTCTCCCTCAGGACGGGAGCCCCTCGGGAAAGGGCCTGGGTATGTTCCACTGGACCTCTGGCGGGATGGGGTCAGACTCCCGAGGCCCTCCTCTCTCCCTGGGGGAGGGTCGGGGCGTAGGGGATGGATTTCACTGGAGGATTTTCAGGGATGGGGCATATGGGAAAGGAGCTACGGAGCTGGGAGGGCTTGCTGGCTCCCTTCAGTGTCCTCTGGACGTTCTGAGAGACAAGCAGAGGGCAGTGGAGGGGTGAGAAGAGGTGGGCAGGCACCGCCTGGAGACATGGTCTGGATCTGCTTCGAACAGCTCCTCTCTTAGCCCTTGCCGGCGGGTCCCCTCCCTAGCCCCCCGTGAGTAGCACAGCGCCTGGCACTTAGTAGGTCTGCTGACTGACCTCCTAACCCTGGTTCTGGATGTCACGTCTGGTGTGCAGGAAGTTGATCATTTGGGCCGGAGTTGGTTGAGGAAGGGTGTCTGGGTGGCTTGCCCCTCGAGGCGCTTTGATGGAGGCAGGTCTGACTGGCCTCCTCACCTGACCTTGGGAGCTGCGGGCTCCTCCCCCGCACATCCCAGGACCTGTGGAGGATGCCGCCCCTCAGTGTGCCCTCGGTGGGTTCCCGGTACGGGGCCTGCTCAGACAAGACACCGAGATGTCAATGCTGAGTGTTTGACGGATCTGAACTGCCAGCCTTCGCGGCGCTGAGCCTCAGTTTCCTCATCTGTAAACCTAAGACTGTTGGTGAGGTGCTGAGGAGTGCTGCCTGGGAGTCCGGAGACCTGGGCTCTGGCCCCACCTGTGCCCCGCCTCCCTGCGTGACCTTGGACTGGGTGCTTCCCCTCGGGCCTCAGGGACCTTCTCCAGGAGGGGCTACTCCAGCGTTGGGGTGGCCAAGCCACATTCCAGGGCTTGTTTGGCTCCGGGAGAGGGGGGGGGCCTCCTCTACAGAGCCAGCCGTGAGCCCTCCGGCCCGCCAGCTCCCCTTCCCTGATCCCTGGGGTGCACAGCGTCCCCTACTCGTGTTGAAATCCTACCCCCTCAGCTGACAGGATGCGGACTCAGGGCCTCTGGGATGTGACTAACTCATGAGGGTGGAGCCCTCAAAAGTGGGATTAGTGCCCTTTTCAGAGCCTCCAGAGGGACCCCAGCCCCGTCAGCCATGGGGGCCTACAAGGAAAAGAGGGCCCTTCCCTGACCACGCTGGCACCTGATCTCGGACCTGAGCTCCAGAACTGTGAGCAAGTGACTCACTTTACAAGCCACTCAGTCTGGTGTTTTGTTACAGTGGCCCGGGGACTATGCCCCCCACCCCCCGCCCCTGCCCGCAGGCCTGTGCCTTCTCCCCGGGCCTCCTTCAGCCCCTTCTCTGCCTGCAGTTAGCTTTCCCTAACTCCCTGTCCCCTGCCTGCACTTCCGGCAAAACGAATCCCGCCTCCCCGTGTGCCTAGCGCTCTGACTTCATTCTGCCTTGCGCTTCAGCGAGTGGCGCCCTTCTGCTGGTGATGTTTCCGGAGCGGCACAGAGACCAGCAGGCATATGCTGGGCACGGACCTCCTTTCCCCCTCACAGCGGCTGCCAGAGACACGGATCACTCTTGCCGTTACCCAGAGGAGCAAAGCTGAGGCTCAGAGACGGTAAGTCACACGCCCTTGGTCACCCAGCTGGCAAGCGGTGATGCCAAGATTCAATCCCGGCCCGTGGGATTCCACAGCCGAGCTCCCTTTGAAGGGCAGCACCCGGGAGCACGGCGGGCACACAGCGGTCCTTCGGTCAGTGCGTGCGACACTGAAGAGGGCCGCTCGGCTGGTGTGGTCGGGGCCGGGGCTGATGCTTTTCCTGACACAGGGCGCGGAGAGCTGGTTTATTGGCCGGGCTCCTGGAGCAAAAGGCACCTGACTCACAGAGCAAGAAGGTGCTGAGCTAGAACCGGGCAGGGCCGTCAGGGCGAGCGACCCTTCCTCCCTCCCGCTGAGTCAGGCAGAAGCTTGGACCAGAGGTGGAGCCAGGGCTCCGAGAGCCCTGGCCTGTCTGTCCCTCCCCGGGGCCAAGCTGGTCACTGCTCTTCTCTTTCCCAGCTGGCTGCCCTGGTGAGACACGGGACACCGGGGCGGGGTGGGGGGCGGGCAGAGGCTTCCAGCTCGGACGGTGTGGACTCGTGTCATGACGTCACTTGGTTGAGCAGGGAGAGCACGGGCTGTCCAGCCAGCTCTTAGAGGACTGCTCCTCGGCTTCCTAGTTGTGTGACCTTCCCGGCCCTCACTTTGGGGGCGGCAGTGCCCCTGTCACACAGGAGGACTCGCCACACTCCAGCTCAGACTGAGAGGAGGAGCTCCGTAGGAGGCAGCCCCCACTTTCAGCGTGTTTGCTCCCCCCACGGCTGATGACTGTCGCCAACACCTCAGCAGGCAGGGACGGAGCTGGCTGGGGTCGCCGCACCCCTCTGTGGGCTCTCCGCACCCGGACGAGAAGGCTGGACGGCTCCCCGACTGGGCCCCCTCTCCCGCCCAGCCCAGTGCCTGGCGCACCGACCACTGAGCCCTCCCGCCCCACCAGCTCCAGCTGCGTCCTTCCCAGCCCAGGGTGGGCAGGAGGGAGACCACACACAGGGAGGAAGGTCTCCTTTTGAGACCACCAACGAGTGCCGAATCACGTACCTAAACTCCTTGTTTTAATTCTCACCTACAAAATCGACACCTCCAAAGGAAATCACACTCAAAGCACAAGGTCTGCCAAACGGTCCGTGGGTTCGCTCTCTCCGTCCTTTCCCTAGCTCCCTCCCCACCCCGGGGCTGGCTGGAAGGGTGACAAAGACGACAGAAGAAGGGCAAAGACGGAGAAAGAGAGGAGTTTAGGAAGGGAGGCCTCCAGGAGGAAGCAGGGGGGAGGCCCCTTCCTGCTCACCGACGTGTCCTCTGAGCACGAGGCAATGATGTTGTCAATGAATGGGTTCCACTTGATGTCCAGCACGTTGCCTTGGTGACCACAGACCTTGGGGTAGTTGGGTTCAATCCTGCCCGTCTGCCGAGGAGGAAGAGAGAGAGAGAGAGAGCAGGGGATTAGTTTGACGGGCCTAGGGTGGCCCTGAGAGGAGAGCCTTTATTCTGGGCTTCTAAACTGGACTGGAAGGTCCTCGAGGACCTACCCACTATCTTATTCACCTCTGCATTTCTGCACCAGGTTGGTCCAAATTGTTCTGTGGCTGTGTCCTCCCCAACCCTGAATGGTAATGGGGCAGGGGACACAGAAGAGTGATACACCCTTGGTCCATACCATACCCCTGTGCAACTTAGGAGAAGGTACCCCTTCCCCAAGTGAAAGTTTCAAGTTAAGATGCTCCTGTTCCCCTGAACAACCAGAGCCTAGAGGGCAGCAGGCGTGGCAGTCCACACATCCAGCCACGGGGCATGTGCTCTCATACTCCCCCCCTGCCCTCTAGGGAGGCGCCAGGGTCAGCAGGAGGCTCCTTCCTGCTGCTCCAGGAGTCAGCAAAGAGGCCTGAGTCTCTGGGTCCACCTAAACACTATCATATACGTTACTCTGCCTACGACGTGGCCAGTGCCGCTCCCGGATGTGGATGCTTGTTCAGTGCGTATCTTAAACACCTGTACCCAGTGCCCTGTGGTTCAAAGCATACTCTGTGGAGTCACACAGGCCTGTGTTTGCATTACAGCTCTGCTACTTTTTAGGTACGTGGCCTCGGGAGAGTCAGTGAAGTTCTCTGAGCTTCAGTTTCCTCATTTCTGCCTCTTAGCCTTTTGTGAAGACCGAATGAGCTAACGCCTAGCAAAGTGCTTGGTGTGCAGATTATCATCATAGTGAATGCTCAATATATGATGGTAGTAGTATTCTCATGCAGATTAGATAATGACACCTCCTCCAGGAAGTCCGCCCTGATCCCTGAATGGGTTAAGAGCTCCTCCTCTATGTGCTCATTGCATTCTGTGCTTCCTTCTATTACAGGCACCGTCATGCGCCATTGCAGCCTGCTTCTATTTGTCCGTGAGCAACTGAGGACAGTACCTGTCTCTTGTCTCTGATTGTCCAGCTCCTTACAAGCCCAGCACGCACTATGTGCTAGGTATATGACCTGAAAGACATCCTTCAAAGGGAATTGATTCCACAAAAGATGGAGGAGGGGAGGGAAGGGAAGGGAAGTCCGTTTAATGAAGGGAAGGAAAATGACAGGCAGAAGCTGTGTTTCCATCCCCAGGCTTTTTAATGCTAGATTTTTGGGGCATCGGAGGCAATAGGAAGGATCTTCCCAGTCACCGCCCATTGGCTAAGAGTGGTTAGGTCCTCAGAGGCACCTTAGGCCGGTCATACCTCCCTGCTTTAGGTTCCTCAACTGAATAACGAAGAAGACAGTCCATTTTTGTAAAGCCTCTGCTCGCGTGCCCTCTGCCTCACCAGTACGGTGGGGTTATTTCAGAACATGTGTCCTGCTATGACCTCTCCCCACCCACTTCCTGTCCGAATCTCCATCGGCTCATTTCCAGATCAGCTGTGTTTTTTGTGACACGGCAACGGTGAGACGGGTAGAGAAAAAACAGACCGAAGAGAAAGTGGCAATGGTGGAGAAAGAGAGAGAGGATTGTGGGAAAATTACAGAATGGACGAAAAGGGTCTGGGGTGTACCAACGCCAGCTACAAATGGTCCCCTTTGCCATTTTATGGGGGGATGCAGTTAGAGCTGGAAAAGCCTATTTCAATGACTTTTGGGCTGTCCGACTATTTCTTTAAAACGAGACTCTAAGCAGAGACTGAGCCACATGGGACCATGGCTTTGGTCAGGGTTACACATGATCTTCTTTTGGCTCTCACACACCCTGCGATTCAGGTATGAGGACCTTCAGGCCCAGAGAGCTTAAGCAACTCACACGAGTTTACCCGGCGGAAGGCCAATCAGGGGTTCCTGCCGAGGGGTAACCCTCAAGGCTAAGCTTTTCGAAGGTCACTCTGCTCATTTTGGCCAACTCCCCTCGTGCAGTCTGACCTCTAAGGGCAGACAGGCACTGCGCTCTCTGCTCCCACAGCTCACACCCCCCTCTCAGAGCCGTCCCTAACATCTGATCCCAAAGGCTGCATCTGAGCGGTCCCCGAGCAAATCTTCCGCATTAAGCTTTTGGCGCCCAGCCCGGCCCAGCCCAGGCAAATCTGAGGGGCACCGAGTCAGTCGATAGGTGGCCATCAGCTAAAAGCAGCTTCTGGCCAGCAGCCTGTGCGGGTGATGCACCGGACGGACAGGTTAAGCGGCATCACTGGAGTCCACTGAGGATGGGGCGAGGTCAGAGCCCTGCACTGGGAAAGGAATTCGTCTTTTTAAAGCTGAGAATGATCCTGATGTAATGTACACCCCAGGTGGACCTCGCCTTACACAATGGACACATTCCCCAGTGGGGTGGGAAATTACGACTGTCAGGACTAAATCACATTGTTGCTTATGTGAACGGTGACCCCCTAGGGTTGTGCAGTGTGTGACCTGGTTGGCTGCACATAATAGCAGCCCTCAAGGGAAGATCCCCCCACTTTCGACCTGGCAACCCTGCTTTTCCTGTTTATATCGTAGGGTTCTACATAACATTTTGTTTGCAACACGAGTTCCACTGCTAGGAAAAAATGTCTGAAAACCATTGTTCTATGGAGAAATCAAGTAAATTAAAAAACACAATTATTAACCCCAGGAAGAAGGCTGTATAAGAAAGCGAATGTAAATCATAGTGATAATGATTTATGTACAACATTTACATAGTTGTAATAATATAAATCCTGAATATTTATTTAAACAAGAGTTACACTATAACATACTGGGGGCACAGAGGTAGGGAAAGTGCGTGTGCGTGTGTGTGTGTGTGTGTGTGTGTGTGTAGTAAGAGGGGAGACTGAGCTGGAAGAGAGCCAGATCCTCAAATTCCATAATAGGAAGTCAACACACAATGTCTAAGATTTAAAAAAATCCAGACAAGGCAGTGAAAGCATATAATTAAGAAATATGGGGATAAGTGCAAAAAGAAACAGCGAAAAGCAAGGAACAGAGCTCCCCTCGGGGTGTGTAGCAAAGGGGGAGAGGGATTGGTTACAGAGTCGTGTGCTGGTAACTGTTTAACTGGTTCTCCGAGGGAAAAAGGCCCTGGTTTGGAGCATTTGCCAATCCCAGTGGCAAAAATATTCCCACTACGCTAATTGTAATCTACTAGGGTGATGTCACCAAAAGTAGAGTCAGAAAAGCCTCACAACAGATCCATTACGTAAGCTTTCTACCATGTGCGTATAATAGACACCAGTCTCCTCAAGAGCACAGAGAGTGGTAAAGTAACCAGGGAGTAATGAGTTATTAACATTCAGTACCTCTGTTTCTGATATAATTTATTTAATTGCAAGTTTGCATAACTTGGTTTTTAATAACGGCCATGTTGACCAATGGCGTGGCAACGGGCTCTCACAAGCCGATACAAGCCACTTGTACCCTAGACCTCAAAGTAGCCCTGGGCTTTATGAACTCTGGACAATTATCACTCCAATGGACATAAAAATTAAAGCCCAAATAAATAAAAAAAAAATGCATACACTAGGCGTTCTAAAGGAAGCTGGTTCTGTTGGGTTTTTTCTTACATGGGAACAATCCCCCCCCCCCCCCCCCCCCCCAAACGCCACTGTTTTCTGTTCCAATGTCTGTGAAGTCACAGACTGTGAAATCATGACCTGAGCCGAAGTCACTTAACCGATCGAGCCCCCAAGGCGCCCCCTGTTCCCATTTCTGTATGGGGGGGGGACGACTTGAGACCCAGCGCAGGTCTGGTTAGTAACTGCCACACCACACTGCCTTCTACACTCTCATCCTGACACACTGATGCTAACGGTGACCCCTCCTGAGATCAAATTTTATCCTCACATAACACCTTTTACAGCTGAGGGAGCGGAAGTTCAGAAAGCGTCTAAGGAGCAGAGTCAAGGCTTTTCAATGTTTCATAATGTCAGCATCACTGTGGAGATGGTCAGTTCACAGAACTGCCCCCGTGGTAGGGGTCTAACCTGCCGTCTGGTCTTTGAACCTCAAAGAGCGCTTCAGCCTCAACAGAACTGAGGCACAGACCTTGCTCCCTGGGGTGAGGAGGGGAAGTCCGTTCCTTGGAGTCTCTAATCCTATAATCACTAGGGAAATCTTCATGCCGTTGGTGCGGACCTTATCCCGGAAGCCTCAAAGAACAAATCCAGCCCCTGCACGGAGACAGACCTTCAACATCAAATGTGGGGTGGCGGCTGCCATCCACCCTGAGTCTTTTCAAGGAGGAGCCAGGTTCTGGGGGGCGGCGGGTCGTGTCTCAAATATACCTCATTGACCAAAAGACAGAGTTAGTAGGGGCTGGAACACAGGCCTCTCCGTGCGGTGGAAGGGGGTGTGAAGTAGGGCAACCTTCCTGCAGGTGCATTTGACCTAGTCTCGCAAAGACTTTTGAAAGGTTCATAGCCTTTGGCCAATAACTCCACTCTGGGAACTCATCCCAGGAAAATCAGCAGCCAAGCACGCCAAGACGTTCACCGCATGGTTATTCATCACAGCAAACAGTATAATCAGTCCCCAACGGTGGAGCACCGCCCAAAGGAGTTTTAGGACACCAACATTACAGAATATTATGAGGTCACTGAAAATCGTATTTTCAAAGAATATTTAATGACTTGGGAATTTCTCAAGAACTAATGGTTAGTGAAACAGTCAGAAGCAAGTTATACCCATACAGCGTTCCCCATCTATTAAAAAACACATAGTTGGGCGCCTGGGTGGCTCAGTCAGTTGAGCATCTGACTTTAGCCCAGCTCACGATCTCACAGCTCGTGAGTTCGAGCCCCGCGTCGGGCTCCGTGCTGACAGCTCGGAGCCTGGAGCCTGCTTCGGATTCTGTGTCTCCCTCTCTCTCTGCCCCTAACCCACTCGCATTCTATCTCTGTCTCTCTCAAAAATAAATAAACATTAAAAAAACTAAAAACAAACAAACAAACAAACAAACAAAAAAACACCCAGTCTGGGGCACCTGGATGGCTCAGTCAGTTAAGTTCCCAACAGTTGGTTTCGGCTCAGGTCACGATCTCGCAGTTTGTGGGTTCGAGCCCCACAGCAGGCTCTATGCTAATGGTGGGGAGCCTGCTTTGGATTCTCTCTCTCCCTCTCTCTCTGCCCCTTCCCTGCACGTGCTCTCTCTCTCTCTCTCAAAATAAATACATAAATTTAAAAAATTAAGACAAACAAAAGACCCCACCTAGTCTGTAAGAAAATCCATCAAGATGTTAATAGTGGCAATGTCTGGCTAGTTGCACATTCGTGGTTTCCAATTCTTCCCCAGGACATTTACAATTTTTATCAGAAAGATAGACGTTATTAAAAGCACACACCGACATGCTCCGTAACTTTGACTGAAAAGTATTTCCCTCTGGTTGTGACCACATGGGTCTTCCAGAAGTGAGATACAGACTCGTGTCTCCCAGATTTACATGGCTTGTGGAACATAAATATGTTTGCTCACACAGCCTTCTCTACTCCTTTGTTACCCCACAAATGTTTTTGGGGGAAACAAACTCCCCGAAATGGAATAAAACTGCCTATTTAACTGAAAGCAGGTTGCAGAGGGCGCAGTGTGCATGCGGGCCGTGGAGGGCCAGGCGCTCCCTTGGAAGGGCTGCCCAGGGGGAGCTGCAGGGGCTCTGGGCCTCCGTCCAGGCTCTTATCTGGACCCAGTGAACTGACTGGACCACAAGATACTTTCAAAACAACCTTTAGCCTCTTAGAGTTTCCCATCGCTGCAAAGCTGAATTCTGTACACAGAAGCAAAACATGTCTTACCTGGGGGATCAGCTCAGCGCGGCTTCAAGGACAGACTTGGAGCAGGAGGTAGGGTTTCCAGGCCCAGTTCGGGCACTCACTTCACCCGCTGAGTGACCCTGAACGTGGCCCCTGGCCTCTCTGGGCTTCCCAGAGTCCTACCCCACTGGGCGATCGCTCATTATGATTCTTCGTGGCTGCACTTTTTACTGAATGAAGCAAGGCTGGCCTGTAACCAGAGCGCCTTGCCTCCGGTACCCGGACAGAACATAGAGAGTCACACAGTCTGCTGTCACAAAGACGTGGGACGGCAACACTAATGATGACAAGGACGGTAATAACAGATCATTCGACAAGGGCTTGCTAAGCCCTAAGCCTTGTGCTGAGCAATTTCCGTACACCGTTTTATTTAAATCTCGTAACAACCCTGCCGAGTTTTATCAAATGCTTCTAACCCTCCCCTAACAATCCACTTTAGGGATAAGAAAACTGAGCTCTTGAACTGACTTGCTGGAGGTGAGGAGCTGGGAGGCACGGGGATAAGAGTGTGCACTTAGCGTTATCTGCCTTGAGGCCACCTCCGTTCTGCTGCCTCCTGTTTCAGACCGTAGGTGAGACATTTGCTAATCAGGGACA